AGTTATAAATTAACTCAGAGCGATTAGAGTCAATAACCAAAGTCATAATCATCACAATACTAAAACAAACCTATAAATGAACTCAAATCAACAAAAACAGATAAAACGAAACACAACGCTGTTTACCTTGCAAACAGTCACAATTCTCAGCCTCTTTACGAACAACGTCGAGAACAGAATCAATCAACTCAGCACCTTCAGTGTAATGACCTTTAGCCCAGTTATTCCCGGCACCGGATTGTCCAAACACGAAGTTATCGGGTCGGAAAATTTTCCCGTACGGTCCGGATCTAATGCTATCCATGGTTCCAGGTTCGAGATCCATGAGCACCGCTCTCGGAACGTACCTTCCGCCAGAAGCTTCGTTGTAATAAACATTGATTCGCTCGAGTTGGAGATCAGAACCGCTTCCGTCGCCGATGTACTTTCCGGTAGAATCTATACCGTGTTCGTCGCAGATAACTTCCCAGAACTTGGAACCGATTTGGTTACCGCATTGGCCTCCTTGAACGTGGAGAATTTCTCTCATGGTTTTTGTTGTTACAGTTTTTGAATTTTGAATGAGAAATGTGAGAGAGTGAGTGATGGAAGAGATATTTGGATATATACAGTTATGGAGGCACTGGAATGGGAATAAGGTTAGAATGGTAATTATGTGCATAAATTATTTTCTGTTAAACACTCCAAATATCAGGATATATATATATATATAATTGCTCCTAATTATTAAACATTCTATATTTTATGATAACTATACTTTAAAGCCGCCAGAATAACGTTAATATATAATTAGTTAAACATGAATAAAAAAACTACTAACTTCACATCAAACTAAACTCATATATAATCTAAATATTGATATAATACAAATTATATTTTTGAAGGTAATTAATAATTCGGTCAATAAATTTGAAGTTATTTTTATAGCATTTAAAGGTTACTATAAATAGCTCTTTAAAAACCATAGGAACTTTCGGAAATTCATTTATCAATTTTACTTTTTAAAGTTTATCAAATTACAATACTTTTACACTACTCTAAAATACCTAGAATAATTATAAATGACTAAATAAAAAATTGATTATAGAAATAATTACTAATAATTTAACCAAGCGTAATAATTGAAGTGATTGATGGGATATCTTTGTTGTGAAGTAGATGTGTGTGTTATTGAATCGTGAATGACACTAAGGTACGGAGACCAGCTTGGCCAACTCATAACTTGTCCCCACCTTATAAAACGCTTCATATCAGACACTTTATAATAGGATGAGCAGCGACCCTACCTGTTTATTCGGTATGACTCGATCATGATTGAGTTTAAAAAGGGTTTAAGACCGATTTTGAGTTCAAAAATTGGACCCAACCAATATTTAGGGTCGGGTATGGACTAAACATGACTCGTCCCGACCCGTCTCATGGTCACTCACTCATCATGTTGTTGTGATGTGTCTCTGTTCAAATATATACAGAGTAATGATATTTTTTTGTCAAAAATATTATTGATTTTCTAATTTTTAATCATATATACATGATTAATAATAATATATATACATATATTATTTTATATGTCAAATTACATATTCAAAATAATAAATAATATTTAGAAGAATTTATGTAAAATGAGTATACGTTATATTTAATCGGGTCCGGGTTTAAAGGTTAATCCTGTGAATATTTAGGGTTAGATTAACTCCTGGTCTAGGGCAGGGTCCGAGTTCAGAAAAATTACACGAACAACATTTAGGACCGAGTAAGAACAAACTTTAACTCGTTCCAACCCAGCCCACCTCACCCCTACTATATATTATCAAATTATAAATATGTGTAATATTTTTAAATAAAATACACATTTAAAAATAATTGTTACACATGTACCTATTTTATTTTTAATTTATGAGGTGTCTCTGTTTGATAGTTTCTGGATCCATCTATGGGTTGCAAAAACAGTGTCATTAAATCTCTCGCATATCTATTACACCATGGTGATCTTGACTCAAATTTTAATTGATTTCTATGGTGTAAAATTTGTTAATACTTATCTAATGTTATTTCCAAGAGTTAGCTTAGTTTGCTGGGTTACAATAAAGTAAGATTGTTTACCTCTTCCCATGGTGTAATAGATAGAAGATCTACCAAGCAAAGATAATGTCACACATTCCCACGTTTTGCAAGAAAAAAGGGGATAGTTTATTACAAATTGGTGCATTTAATAAATCAAAAGAATTATTATTTATTTCCTAATAAAATATGTCCTCTTTTTGTTTCTTCATCCTTGAGACTTGGGTTAAGAAAATATTTTTTGTAAAGCCCTAATAATTTTTATTTTGATAAACTTATAATCACTAACGGTGGTCCATTTAGAAATTAAACTTTTATAGTGTACCAATAGGTTAATTTCGATAATGATAGTTAAGGCATACTTATTTATTTGTTGCAATTAATACTCTTTTGTTTCATGACTTTTGTTGTTTTAGGATATATTTTTTCTTGTTTAAGGCTTGGTCAATTTTTATCATAATACTATCATCATTTAATAATAATATTTTTTTTTATATTTTTATTAATTAATTCTATTTTAATATGAACAGTTTAGTCCAAATATAATATTTTTTAATGATTTTTAAATCTGTGTACATTAACCTTAAATAATATACGTTATGAAATGTTAGGATGCAAATATCTAGTAGCAGAATACTTGTAATATAATATTAGTGTTACCAACATGTAGCCTTTCAAGCAATCTAATACTTGTAATAATTATTTCTATGAATGCATATTCTGTGTGTATTTATTTATGTTTACTTGTTAGTTGTTAGGTATAAAGAAATTAAATAAGGGTGGGTGTGGGAGATACTTCACTTGCAGGAACGATGTGATACTTGTGACACTAACAAGTAGTTTTCTATGAATTATACCAAAAGTGATTGGTCCTATGAAAATGGACTTAATTCTCAAACAAATTTTAGTTGTGGGGTCAGAGAGTTACCATTTTAAAGCCAGATGAACCTAATGAGTGTTATTTTTGTTGTTGTTGAGTATTAGGTATGAATGGAGAAATTCTACATTATGTAAAATGGATGACTTAAAGAATATATAAGTAAATGAACCGATAGTCCTAATTCCTTAAGATTTCGAATCAATATGTGATATCAAATTCATTTATATTTCGTTTTTCTATGGATGTAGATCTCCTAACACTTTTTTAGTCTAAATCTTATGAATTTTTTCGTGATGTTTTTTTAATAAATACTTATTTATAAACACAATCTATTACTACTCAAAAGTCCGAAGACTCTCAATTGTAAAATTACTTACTACTTGAGTCACTTACAATTTATCAAGATTTTTTCATTCAAGTGCTTAATGACAATTTGTAACCCTGATATGAGTTCATCCCTCTCCCCAATTAAAAAATAGAAAATAATTCGATCTTATTAGATCACTGAAAAAGGAACACCGAACAACCTTTGATTATTGATGCGTGTATTCCATTATTGCATTATTTAGAGGTTGTTTTATAATATTATAGAACACGTGCAATGCATGTGGCCACCGAATTTTGTCTTCATTGTGAAGGCATAGTTGTTTTGTATCAATATGTTCAACGCGAATCTAATTTAAATTTTGCAACTTAGGATTTAAACCTTTTTGTTCTCCTTCATTATTTCACTACTCTTCTATGTCACTTCACCATATGCAATAATAGCTTAACCAAGAAATTGACTTAGGAATTATTACATGATTGTGTTATTATTCTCTCCACTTGCCTTTCATCACATTCTAATTATCCACGTTGCCATGTCAGAGAAGTACATGGGGCCTTCCAAACATGGCTGTGAGGTCCAATTTTTAAAAGATAGAATCTTGAAGAAGATATCGGGATGGAAACAAACAAATATTAATAGATCAACCAATTTAAACCTATAAGTTATGTAGGACTGGATCAGATCGGGAAGTCTTCAACCACTGGGGTATTCTATTATTAATGATGCATGAAGAGAGTGAAGAATAAATATCAAGTGAAAAATAAGGTCTCAAACCAAAATCTTAAAGCAATTGTTTAATGACATTTTCTATTTATAAACTCTCTTATTGATCCCCTTATATCAAATGGGTTTACACTTAAATAAATTTCACAAGATTCTCTGAGATCTCAATTTCAGTGTCATGCGAGTCAAATGATGGCTTGATTTCTATGGGAGTGAAAATTTTGATGCAAGGAAAATAACTGGCTTAATTGGGACAAAATGTGCTGGCAAAAGGGTGTGGGGTTCTTGGATTCAAAGATCTCCATACATTTAACATGACAATGCTATCAAAACTGGGTCAGAAATATAATGACTCTCACAACCCTACTCTCTTGTGGGTCATATCTTGGAAGATAAGTATTTCCCAAGAGACAGTTTGAGGATGTTAATGAAGGAACTAATTGGATTGGAATCACATGTCTCACTTTGTGTACTAAACCAATAAGAAAGTTTCATTCAACTAAAAAGAAAAATAACAAAATCAGAAAATAGGGACATTGAGACAAAATAATTTTGGGACAGAGAATCATTGTCCGACCTTATCTATCATTCACACATAGTGACACCGGCTTCCAAAATAGGGCAAACTCAAGGTGTCTTATCCCATTACTTGTAACATAGCTTCAGAGTTTATATTACTTTGAATATCCTATTCCAATGTGCATTCACCTACAAAAATATTCGCAGGCTATAATTTTTGTATTTTGTACTAGTCAAAATTACACTTTTTCCTACGCCCATCTCATGAAACCTCACCAACATGTAGAAATATAATATCGACAACGAGATCAAATCCAATACTAAAAAATCCACATCTTAACTTATTCCCGTAGTACTTGGCAATTACACCATCTTCTAGAAGGCTTAAAACATGTTGCATGTACATTTTCCTAAACTACAAAAATACTCGCTCTACTCTCCAGAGCAATGTTATTAAACCTAACTTAAATTGATGATTTAAATTTCTAACGGGTCAAATGCGATCAATGGTTTCAAAGGCGGTCTAGCTAAGTTAACCACACTCAAATAAAAAAAACGGACAAACCTAAACATTATTAAATTTTTAAAAGATAAGTAATTACACAAGAATAATAATAAGCAAACCCCAAAGCCCAACAGAATAATGAAGTGTTAAACTAAATATGGAAGGGGCCGCGCGAACGCAGGCCCCCACTGCCACAAATTATGACGTAGGTTCCACCACTTGGGCAGACCTTAGGGAAGCACCCCTCCCAAGTGCAATGGAGGTCACAACCCTAGACCATGGGCCTTCTTGATCACCCATTGACCCCGTCCAGGTAAGTGATTTGCACAATCCCACTCACTTTGTTTTTATAACCCACCTTTCACAGTACATCAACCAACCTCAGCAATGTGGGACTCTATCACACAACAAATTTCTTACCACAACAGCCTTCAACACGACTTTCACCATATATATTGCTTATGACAGTTGCAGCAAGTTCTACGAAGAAACATGACCGTGCATAATTTGGAAAAGGCAACATCCTTCAATTAAGTTTTTTACTTTATAATCTTCAAATTCTGTCATGACAAGATTAAAATGTCAGATTGTTAAAAATGCTAAATATCTGACTCGTATGATCCTCGTTCCTCATTCTTCTACTCTGACTTTTATTCCACAACTTGGATACTCTTCGTATAGGGTTCTGATTATTGGATTCGTGAATGTAAGCAGCTTCTTTTAGCTAGATTATCGCATGTTAATAATTTTGATTCTAACTTTTTATAATAAGCTATGCATGTCAATATACCAGAAACATAGAGAACCATTTATTTAATTACTTTTTTCTGTTTTGTTTGTAAAATCATAGCTTAAAGTTGCAAACTTCCTACCATCTTGGCAATTAGCAATTCTACAGGAATTGGATCTCTTAAGCTTATTTCCCTTAGAAGACTCATAGGGTCGTTTTGCTCAGCCGCTAAGGTTGTGAAAAATAAAAAAGTTAAATTTGAAGGGAAGACTTATAGAGTGTGATGGGAAGCTTAAGAAAATTAAGAGCTTTGTTAACAGAGTTTTTATTCAAATTCAAGGATTATTGGTCGTGGCAAAAGGTGGCTTTGTTAAGAGTTGGTTCATATGATGCTATATAGATAAATTCAAGGATTAAGAGCTTTGTTAAGAGCTAGTTCATAGCATCATATATTTTTCGAAGTTTTTTATACTTCCCTATATGTATAACTTGCTTTCGATAGTGCTCCTTATCTCTTAATATTTGGAGAATTAGAAGTGAAGTAGCCAGATTTGAAAATATGTGTAAACACCGTCGGTAACATAATCTAGACCTATAGTTCTCTGTTGAGTTTGTTTTGCTTTGCATGATGCTTATGATGAGATTTTGCCAACTGGTCATGAATGAATTCTACGATAAGTATTTCATACCAGATGTGGATGTCTTAAAAAAAACAACCTATGGCAAAGGCAGAAACAAATAAAATACTAGTGTAAATATGTGACAACGTATCCAAAAACAAATTTATACAAATCTTAACAAAATTTTCACCCTTCAATATCAAAATTTCCACCTTTCAATATTATAGTGTTTAACCACTAACAACATTATTTTTCTGTCAAAGTTTTAAACTTATGATCACAGTTTTCTCTAAAAAAAGTAATTACCACTAAGGACATTTTCTCTAAGAAATATCGAAAATATATTTCGTGAATTTTAATAAATGATTTTCAAAAGAACTTACAAATATAACCAAGATAAAATATTTAAAAAAATGTGAATAAGTTAGTCCTTGAGAGTAGGGATCAGATTGGAAAAAGATTGAGTGCCCAATTGTCGTAACAGGCTTGGGCAGACACCCAACTCGCATTTTTAATTGCGAGATTCAACCACTCATCATATCCCGTTAACTGCCTGAAGGATCATGGTTTTATTATTAGTTAATCCTTCCAATTTATACTAACCAGTTTAGTTCTACCACTTATTCCACGCGATGTGGTACTTTGGTTATGCCTAATACTACTCTTTGATCTGATTCACAAAACACTTCTTTGTTTTTTAAAACAACACTTTATCATGCTTTTCACATACATCCCCAAATCCTGTTAGGAAGTTTGACGGTATATAGAAATTACCCAGCTCACTCTCCCTCTAAGTAGGGATGGCAATATGGGCTTAGCCCGTCGGGTCAGCCCGTTTTGATCGACATTTTTGGTGGGTCGGACTAGAGATTTTAACCCAAAAGCTCATATTCATCCCGTTTTGGAAGCCCGTTTTTAGGCGGGCTGGGCTAGCCCGGCGGACCAACATTAATATTAATTTATCATTTTAAGGTTCCATGTGATTCCAATAATGTAGTCAATTTAATATTGTTTTCCAACCGAACATTTTACACATACTATGTGCAACCAATTTATTATTTATATATAACACATTTATGATTAAATTATTTATTAATGTAATTTATATCATATACAATACAAAATATTTATATAGTAGTGTTTAATTTATATCATATATCATATTTTGTTTAACTTAATTACATTTATCACTTTTTTGTTTAAAAAATTACACCTCTCATACATGATTGATCAATGTAATGTATGTTTATAAATTAAAGGTTTTTTTTGTAAGTGTAGAAAATGGAATGATAGTTTGTGTAATTTCCCTAAAATGCATGGAATATTTGTATAATTTAAATATGTTTTTGAAAAGAAAAAGAAAAATGGGTCAGCCTGCTGGCCTGCCAGCCCAGCCAAATATGGGTCGGGCTTTCATTTTGAGCCCTTTTAGCAATAAGGGTCGGGTCAACCCAGCCCATATTTTGGCGGCTGACCCGTTTTGTCACCCCTACCTCCAAGGAATTAAATGGGTCTCCTTCTAAAACTCTAATTTTCATAATGAAATGATTTACAAAGTTTATTCGCTTTTAAAATAAAAAAACTAAAAGAAAAATATAGGATCCTTTTGAAAAAAGAATACAACTTAATGAGTAATTTGGAAAATGAAAATAATTTCAAGGACAAAGAACTTACATAACTAAGGTGCAAATAAAAAAATAACGTAGAATATGGACAAAATACTTTCTCAATTGTTTTTGGCATTCTTCTTATTTATCGTTCCGACCGGTTTGCCGAGCAAGCCCTAAACTAATCATCATTGAGGTTCTAAATTGGACTAGCCCATTTCAAACTCAACTCTCCCCAAAAGATTGGCCTATTCCAGCACCTGGTCAAGAGTGTCTTAAGGGAGAATTCCAAGAACATTGTGCAAAGATCATTGTGTCAAAGAACATTGTGTCATCGTTAACGTTTTAGAATCTTCCTTTAGCCTAAAGAAAGTCTTCACAAGTTGCCTTATGTCAGTTATCTATACTACTTCTATGTGCCACCAATTATAAATTGATATGTCAATTAAAGCTGTACCATGATAACTAACTAAAAGTTAACAAAACATAATTGTGAATTTGTAATTGATGGCACATAAAAATGACATAGAAAAGTGGCATAGACAATTTATGTTCATAGGACTATATGTTGGGAGTAAATCATCTCTCCCACCTCACTCTCGATTTCTATACTCCCTCAATCGTTTTACACATATTATCTTGTGTTTAACATATATTCTGTTCAACATATACATGTCATGTCAATCATTTTCACGTCACTCACCCACTATCCAGAAGAACTATTGTTAAGAGTTATTTTAATTAAGTAGATGCTTATCCTTTTCATTGTGACTATATCTCATTCTAATTAATGAATACTTTACTCTCATTTCAATTTGAGTGTAGTATATGTGTGTTTTCGGTGTAAATATTTATAAAAAGTCAAAACATTATTCACCATTCATTTGTACTCCTCTTTTTGAAGAGTTAATGACAATTGAAAATGAATAATGGATGATGAACTCCTAATGTATGTTAGTTGAGTAACTTTTACCCATGATTCTATTCATTTTGCCAAGCTAGTAGCTTTTTTCATAGCCATCTCAAATCATAGTAATTGCAAGCAAGTAGCTAAGGCGAGCAGGTAAGGTTTATATTGGACTTGGGATGTGAGGAATTTGTCACGATTGGAAGCTACAAAAGCTTGATGTTCAACTAGATATCATCCTGCACTCATAGATTAAATTGGCCTACATGCTTTTTTGCATCATTGATGTGATCTCAAATATTGGAAGCATATGAAGGATTGGATACATGATTGCTTAAATATTGTTATCACTTCAATTCCTGATCCTTCCATAATAATATATTACAAACCAACTTATGCCATTTTATTATTTGGATTGTATTGCAGGTGCATCAAAACAAAAATGCTGGAGTTAAACTTACTCCACATTTTAACCATCAATTTTAGGGAAATTCAATAGTTTGAATTAGTGAGTAAATCTAAATCATTAATCTTAACGTATTTTATTCAAGGCTAGGTCATTGTAACAGGGTCACGGGTACAAAGGCCCAAGACATTATCTATAAGAAACATATGGCCCAGAACCTTTGGTTGTTAATTCAAACGTTATAAATTAAAAAAATAATTGTTCTATTATACCGACCTAAATCCTGTAACTGGTTCCATATTCTTTGAAGTTGCAATTTATGTGTTTTGAAGGGTCGTTTGAGAATTGAGACTTTTTCCTGTCACCATTAAAACGGGGAGAGTGACACCTTGCCTAACAAAACTCTTCATATAACAAAATATCCTAAATCTGAATCCAGACACATCCAATAATAAGTCTCAAAATCTCAAATTTCAATTACTTATATGTCCAAAAATACAAACTCAGACATAACCGTTATAGCTGATAACAAAAAAAGACACAACCGTTATAGGTATTATCTACGAGTAGTTGTAGATCCAGATACCAAATGGTCATCCTTATTAGTTAACCACCGTTACAAATATAATAGATGAGATGTTTGAATCTCTGGACCAGTGGTTGTTTTCAATTTCCGCTATGACCAACTTTCAGGCCAATAACCTAATTCCTATCAGAAAATCTTAATTGCAGCTAAAAACTGAAGCAGTTCAACAATTGTACTAAAATTTCCAATGTGGAAGTTGAAGCAACTCAACAGCCAAACCAATAAACTTGGTATTGCTATAAGTCAAGATCAGAGTAAAATGGAGCATGAGATACCCACAAGAGGTTAAGAATTCATGTTTACAAGTTTGACACTAAGCATGAAATATTTTATGATATTATGCAAAACGTGTCAAAGGTGAAAAGGTTGTCAAATGAGACACGCTTTTTATCCATTCAGTATCTCTGTCAAGGAAAGGGTGCTAGCAACTAGTAACTAGCATGTAGCAACAAGGAAGTCACACTT